TCCGGTTGGCTAGTGGGTGCGTTCTGCTGGTTTGATGAGAGAGGCCGACTACTAGGGGGAGTGGAGGGGGGCAGGGAAATAGGGAGGAATGAAGTGCCTATGGGTTTTGTTACTGTGCCGGTCACTCTGGTGGATGGAGGAGAAAAGATTTCTACGGAGATGGTGGGGGGGTTAGTCGGGATCGAGGCTGTTGAGGGGGGGGGCGATGGGGATTGGGTGATGGAAGAGGGAAGGGGAGATGGGAGGAGGGAAATGGGGAGGAAGGATACGTTAAAGCCTGTGATGGGGTGGGTTATGTATAAGACTTGAGGTCTTCATGACAGAATGACAGGATGGGACAAGGGGATGGGGGTTTGGCTGGTCCAAGTGGGAACTCGATTGAATGAGGTAAAGATGAATACAGTAAGGGAAAAGGGGCGACAGACTGACAATGGTTTGGTTTTGGACCATAGCATAGCATAGGTCGTGAGGGCATACATAGCGCTACATACTTGATACCATTCGTTGCATTAACAAACGAGAAACACTCCTCGCGCCTTATAAATTGTCTCTACGACCTCAAAACCCACTTTAGCACAGGTATATGGTAGCGCTAATGTAAGAAATTATAGCGATATATATGTTGCGATATGTGTCGTGTATGTTTTGGTATGTGTTGTATATGTTTTTTTAAAGGCGTGTTCTTTTCGACTTGACACCCTAAATTAACCGATATATTACTACTAGCATGTGTCAACTAATCTAATAGCATGAATGCTTAGTGGATTTGTATGCGTTACCTTCTTTTATCTATGCCTCTCTTGACCATTCGAATGCGTAGAGGACCGAGTTAGCAGGCGTTCATTGGAAAAAACCACGGCCTAATAAGCTCGTGGGAGATGATTCATAAGGTCCAAGGAGTGTTTCTCTTAACAAATAGCGATGATAACCACCCATTAACCTTTGATAACATGATATCCCGTAACCGACATCCATCCTGTACACGCATTCCACATTACACGTCCCCCCCCCTTTCTTTCCTCAAGCCTTCTTAACATACTTCGCCGGGTGCCCGTTCATCTTCGCCCAACCCCTAACCTGCTGGTTCATAATCCTCCCAACGAAAAAGTAAATAACCGGCATGATCCACCCGATCAACGTATCCCACACCCAGCTATTCCTCTCACTGCCGCCCATAATCGCACATCTCATCAAATTACCCAAAAACGACATCGTGACAAAGTACTCCCCCCTCTCCAAGCCCGCAATCGCACGTCTAGCCACCACCTCCGGCGTCTCCGGGGGCTCATCCTTCTCCAGCGCCAGCGTAATCTCCGGCTTGGTCTTATTCTCCCTCTCCAAACCCGGGGAAATAATCGTCGCAGGATAAACCACGTGCACTTTCACCGGGTTATCCGGGTACAAATTCAGCTCCATGGCCAGGGTATCCGCCAGACCACGAATCGCCCACTTGCTCGGCGTGTACGGGCCATATCCCACAATCGCAAACAGTGCCAGCACAGACGACGTAAAAACAATGTGCTTCGGCTCCGCCTTGGGGGAGGTGCTGTTTTCGGGGGACAGCCACTCTTTGAGAATGGCACGGGACATTTCTGCTGATCCAAAAAAGTTGACGTCCATGTTGCGCCGGGTGGCGGCCATCACGTCGTGTTCTTCGGATGCCCAGAGAAGAGGGGTCGACATGCCAGCGATGCACCAGACGATGTCCGGGGCGGCACCGCCGTTCCAGGCGATGGCTTGCGCGATGACGGCTGCGGCATAGTTGTGCTCGGAGACGTCGGCGGAGATGTAGGTGAATTTTTGAGTGGCGGGCGACTTGGCGGCGTTTTTGACGAGGACGATGGCTTCTTCTAGGCGGCCGACGTTGCGGGCTACAAGAATGAGATTGGCGCCCTTTGCTGCGAGCTGGATGGCTGCGCTCAGGCCCATTCCCTCGGAGGCGCCGGTTATGAGGACAGTCTGTGAATATTGTTAGTTGTTGGTGGTTACGAGAGGGGAAGGGGAGAGATAGTTACCTTGCCCTCGACGGGGAACTTGTTCTTCCCCTTGAGCAAACCCATACTGGAGACCAAGGCAAAGATGGTGGCTAATGCAGCTCCGACGTACGCGAGAGGGATGCCACCGAGGAGTTTTTGAATCACGTCCATTGGGAGAGAGAAGCTATATAAGAAAGACATTTTGTGAGAGACTAGGGGTGAGATTTTGGAAGGATTCGGACTTATAAAACCGTACCTGTGACGGTATAAAACCGTGCCTCTTACTGAACCGTTGAAAGAACCGTTGGTACAGGTCCGATGAGGTCGGTTTTCATAAACAGGGGCACTCGCTGTTTATGACCGTTGTTATAGCTTGTGATAAGGGGGCGTGCAGGAGTCCGAGATTATCGCTTCCAGCGGAGTTGCCCAGCGAGCTCCTTGTGGATGCTGGGAGAGCTCCAGTGGGCACGCTCTAGGCTCAGTGGGGAAGGAGCGGGAAAGGTGGGGCTCTCCCGCAGGTGCATGGGTGCTGGGTTCTGCATGCGGTGAAGAGGTGAGCTTGGTCAAGAAAAAAATTCTGCCGCTGAATTTCAGTGAAGCCGCCCCACCCCCATCTTTTTGGAAGGCGACTTGCTTTATCGAGTTGCGACTGATTTTTCGACGAGCTTCAAATCACCAACTGAAATTTCTGTTGTTTCCTGTGGTTTCAGTTTGAAAGTCAGCGACAGTTTCAAAATGGCCAAGAAGAGAAAGGTTTCCAGAAACACGGAGCCCACGGGCCCTCGTGAGGTCGACGACAAGGACGCCCGTCTCACCATCCGCACATACGAGGACGTCGCTGATTCCCAGGACGAGTATTGGGCGAATAAGGATCGCATCGACTTTGACAGCGACGACGAACCGCGTGCGAAGCGAGCGAGGCAGGAGGAAGAGTTTCTAGAGGCTTCGGACGAGGAAATTCTGGCTCAGGACGATTCGGACGAGAGCGAGGAGGACGTAGCACCTGCGAAGAAGGGAAAGAAGGCGGCACAAGATTCCGACGATGAGCAGCAACGAGGAGAGGAGGACGAGGGCGATGAGGGCTGGTGGGGTTCGAACAGGGACGAGTACTATGATGCCGATCAAATCGAGACCGAGGGTGATGCTTTGGTAAGTCCGACTGAGATCTTTATGCGAAAAGTAGGAAATTAGTCGCTGATACCCGTTGCAGGAAGAAGAAGCAGAGGCCAAGCGTCTCAGAGCCAAACGATCAAAGACAGCGAAGAAGGCGGAACTCACCAAAGACGAATGGACTGCTCCGCAAGAAGAAGCCGGCGACGACAGGGAGGTTGTAACGGAAGTCCTAAAGGAGATTGAAGTAACCGAGGATATGGGACCCGAAGAACGATACACGCTGCTCAAGTCACGGTACCCCGAGTTCGACTTTTTAGTGGATCGGTTCAACCAGCTGCAGCCCCTTCTCACAACACTACAAAAAGAAGCACAAGGCAAGCCTGCCAAGTCATTAGAAGTGGTCAAGTCCTGGATTTTGGGATGCTATGTTGCCGCATTAGCGAGCTACTTTGCTGTTATGATGTCCCCATCACGAGACGGCGATGGTTCAGCATCAACTCTCAAGCCATCAGAACTCAGGGAACACGAGGTTATGGAAACACTGGCCGAGTGTGAGGAAGCTTGGGAGAAGGTTAGCCAATTCAAGCCAGCTAGGACCGCCGTCTCGCAAGCCGGTATGCTTTCACCACCCGACGAGGACGATATGGAGATGAATCTCGACCTCGACATGCCCGTCAAGAAGACCAAGACGAAGTTGTCCAAGGCCGAGATCAAGGCGAAGAAGGAGAGGGAGGCCGAGAAGGCTAGAAAGGCCAAGGCAATGGAGGAGGCTCTGGGCGATCTGTCCACCATGCTCAAGGGCACTAAGAAGTCCAGCAAGGAGGCAAAGGCGGCAGCGGCAAAGGCCGGCGCGGATGATGACCACTCTGACTTTGGTGAGGAGGATGTTCTCGACGAGCGCACAGCGGCCGACAAGGCCAAGCGCAAGAAGAGCTTGAAGTTTTACACTTCGCAGATCGTACAAAAGTCCAACAAGCGTGCTGGAGCTGGTCGCGATGCTGGTGGTGATATGGATATCCCTTATCGCGAGCGTCTGGTAAGTTTCATCCATTCGCTGCTGTATTTAAACTTCTTGATACTAATTCATGATACAGAGAGACCGCCAAGCACGCCTCAACGCCGAGGCCGAGCGCCGCGGCAAGAAGGACAGCAAGTTTGGTGCAGAACTCGGCGGCGACGACAGCGACGGCGACGATGCCGTGGCCAAGGGTGTCCGCGACGATGAGGACGAGTACTACGACATGGTTGCGCAAAAGTCACAGCAAAAGCGCGAGGTCAAGGAGGCGCGGAAAGAGGCGCTGGCACAGGCAAAGAAGGACGAGCGGGTGGTCGAGCAGTCGACGATTGGCGAGGACGGCAAGCGCCAGATCACATACCAGATCCAGAAGAACAAGGGTCTGACACCGCACCGGAGGAAGGAGGTGCGCAACCCTCGTGTGAAGAAGAGGATGATGTTCGAGGCCAAGCAGAAGAAGCTCAGGAGCGTCAAGGCCGTGTACAAGGGCGGCGAGGGCAAGGGTGGATACCAGGGAGAGTTGTCCGGTATCAAGACGGGCATTGTCAAGAGTACCAAGTTGTAAGGCGTTTGTTACTGGGGCTTGTAAAACATATATTATATCTTGCATGGTCTGTCGGCTTTTGGACAAAAGGCAGAAGCTGGCATCGGCGTAATGGAATTGGTCCTTTCTGTGCGCGCATGCCGTCCATATATGACTTGCGTCGGGATTCTTGACTGTAATGCTTTACTAGCCTCAATCTTGTGATGTTGAATTGATCTGTCAACATCACCCAAGGAGCCCGATAAGTTTCATAGAATTGCGGTGGGACGAGGTGATATTCGAATCTGTGCCTCGTAGCTTGGCGGTCTTGGTGGGATGCCCCCAATGTCGCTTTCAACAAATCACAGCATTCGGTTGTGTAGTGTAGCGGTTATCACTCCGGATTCTGATATCAGAATGTTCCGGCAACCCCGGTTCGAGTCCGGGCACGACCTTTACTTTTGACTAGATCTTTTGCTCTCAGCAAAGCATGCTCTTGACGTTATTTTAGCAGGCTGTTGGACGGTGTCTTTTTTAAAAAAAAAAAATTAAAAAAAATAAAAAGAAATTTGGAGTACCCTTCTTCTTCGGCATGTTTGTCTTATCAAGTGGCTGCTCCTACTTACCAAACAACCCTCCTGTCCGAATCTTCACCTGGACGTCATCTACAGCTTCATCGCCAAGCAGAATTGATTCATCGAGCCATCGTGCCGGAACCCGGCCAATGGCACCAGACAGGTTTGGCGACGAAGCAATTATCATGAGATCTGCATCGCTTGCGATATCGTATCTTCAGGGTCCAAATGCTTGGCCTGCACGTTGTCACACCAGTTCAAGTGCCAAGCATGACGTAAAGGGAGCACACCTCAAAAGTCCCGTCAAACGTCATCCCGCTCTCTTTTTTCTTTTGTGCTGAGGGAACTTGTGGAAGTTCTACTCCCGACCTGAATAACAGCCCGTTGCTGTCTTTGAGCAGCTTTTCATCGCAGAAATAGGCAACCGGTGATGATGGGATATTCATGGGAGGTGATGCCAGAACGCGCATTCCTTCGTCAACTGCAAGCTACACATGATGTTTCAGTGGATCGATAGATACCAGACGAAAGGGAAAAGAACATCGGGGAAGGGTGCCGTCCAAGACTTTGGTGTGTCAAAGCAAAAGCACAAAAGGATTCCGATCTTCGAGAAAATCGACGGCAGGTGCTCCGTGGTAGGTTGAACGGTTTGGCCACACCCCCTTCAGGACACACAATTAGCGCGACCAGCCTGTAGTTCCTCCTACGTCACAAAGCGCACCCCCCACCTTTCTGTCCCTTCAACTTGATGTGTGTTCTTGCGGAGGCAGCCTGGCATGCAGTGAGCACCGGGCAGTGTCGATTCGATGAGGTAGTTGGTCCGTAGGCCAGTCTTTCTCAAAACCTTGAAAGGTTTAAATGAAGCTCACGCTCTCTTCCTTGGCAACCGTTGCTCCAGACCTCATGAACCATCAATGATTTCGAACGATACCCACCTCTAAACAAACACAAGCAGACGCACACATACTTTAACTTGCAGTAGATCAAGTCTAGCAAAACTTCCATCTTCACCATGGAGACCATTAGCAACATCGCCAACACCGCCGTTACTACGGCCTCCAAGGTCATCTGGGGTGAGAAGGAGGAGCCAGTCTCGGGCCGCATGGGTAATGTAGCAGCCGGTCAGCCCTACGACGCTGGCAATATTGGTGGTAAGTTTGCTCTCAAGCATATCCCAAGTCACATTGCATCGTAGCGTACACTGACACTCACACTAGAGTCTCATACCTCTATAACAGTCTCCCGTGATCATCTCCCCTAACCCAGCCACTAGAATCCAGCTCAACCGCCCTCAAGACGACAGACCCCAACCCCGAGGTCGAAGTCAGCCACGTCGAGACCAACCAAGTCCAAGACACCCCCCGCAAGACAGACCTAGGCGCCAAAGAGCGCGCCTTCGATGCCAACGGTAACTCTGCCGCGAAGCAAGTCGCCCTGCCCCCTCCCACGCCCTCCGAGAAGGCCCAGCAGCCCTCTACCACCGCCGTCACTACCCACGATACCGACTCTGGCCCTTCCAGCAAGGGCGACCCCTTCACCACGGCTGTCACCACCCACAAGACGGAAGATTCCGCCCCTCCCATCCCCCACGCAGACGCAGCGGCAACCAAGCCCTCATCTACTCTCCCCGTCGATAGCACCAAGGCTCAAAATGATACCCGCGACCCCTCCGATCCCACCACCAAGCCCCAAGCTGTCCACGAGAAGAACAACATCGACGACGCCGACGGTGGCCTAGACGTCAACAACAACCCCGTCAAGATCGACGGTCCCGGCCCCCGCCCCCTGGAAGAGGTAGCCAAGGAACGGGGTGGCGATGCTGGCAACGTTGGTAATGACCATGGCGACCGAAGCCGCAGCGTCGGCAGTGTGAGCACCACGGAAGACGACAACCGCAAACACAGCGGCACGGGCGAGTTGTATGTGAAGAGCAGCGGTCTGGCTGCGGACGGTGGAGACTTTGATGCTACGAAGCCCGGCGCAGGGAAGGAGGCTGATCGTATGTTTTATGTTCCTGTTCCTCCCTTCCCTTGCTTTTAGTATGCTAATGCGATGTATCTAGGACTTCTCGAGCAAAAAGGTATTCACTGGGGCAACAAGACTGGCAATGATGGCTCGGCAGCTGTAGGAAGCGGCCAGAGCGATAAGCACCATCATCATGCTGGCGAAGACCACCATGCCGACCATCATGGTGAGCATCATGAGAAGACCAGTCTCAAGGAGAAGATCAAGGCCAAGTTGCATCGCAAGTCGGTTTCTTAGATCAACGGTGATGGAATCAGGAGGCAAATGGAAGGAGGGTTATGGGAAGATTTCGAGGATTCCTGGAATGAGTTCTTGTGTTTGTTTTATTAGGTTTTTTTCAGCCACGAATCATGAGTTATGTTCAGTCAGCACCTGTGGTACATATTCCATTATCTTGTTTAGTGACATTATGCATCGGGCCAGAGCCACGGTATGTGAATAAGAAAAACGACTGACTGCCTGGTAAGAAGAAAATATCAACACGCTTGCTGCTAAGCATAAAAAAGAATCAGGATACACCCCCTAGGTACCTAACAGACATACATAGGGGTCTCAATCCACTAACCCATGCCCTGCACAAGCTTCATAGTTCCTATCCGAATCGCCTCGTGTCTAGCAGATCTCTGGTTCGTTGTTAGCATATAATCATTCATCAAGATTCAGATACGATTCGGGCTTCTGGCCTTCAAGCCTGATAAAGCGTTTCAAAAAGCGCAGGACACAATAATGGGTCGACTATGCGCCTTAACAATAATCAAGATGCAATTCATCGATGAATGTGTTTATTCATGAATTCCTCCTTCATTGCATCTTTGATTCTTGTTACAACGTATAGTCAACCCATTTCTTATGTCCTTCTGCGCTTTTGCAAACGCTCCGTCAGCTTTAAAGGAAGGCCAGAAAGAAGCCCGAATCGTATCTTGGCGACAAAGGAATAGCTCTTCGTTCGGTATTGTGGTTGAAGATGATGTGGTGAAAAAGGATGTAGGTAATAGCGAGAGCTGTGATGGATGGAAAGAACATTGCCATGGTTGGTTGCAGAGAGACGGACGGCTTCTTATTTATGTTTGGTCTTGATAGGCGGGTAAGAGCATACCTTATCTTGGCTTTTGGTGAGCCGCAAGAGTCATCGGTCATCGATAAAGCCGTAGGTATCCACGGTTCTCAAGAGCCACCAAGCATAAGCCGGTGAGGCCGTAAATATCTATAGTTCTGACGAGGCGCTGGATGCTAAGAAAAAAAAAAAGAAGAAAAAAGTGCTTGAGTGCTGGAATGATACGCTTGGGGGATAGACGTGATCCTCGTTAGATACTAGGTCCTGGAGCTCTAACGAAAAAAAAAACCGAAAAAAAAAGAGAAAAAAAGATTTGGGATATATCCACAAGATAGGTAGGTAGGGGAACTTATTTAATCCAGCAACCCATGCTCTTCCCAAACTTGATAGATCCTGTCCCGAATCGCTTCATGGCCAGCAGACCTCTTTGTCATTTTCACTCTTGTCAGCTTCCACACCTTGTTTGTCCTTTGGGGAAGAAAAGAACGTCTGGGATATGAAAGAAAAGAAGAGAAAGAAAACACTCACAGGATGAAAAGTCTTGCCATAATACGTAGGGGTGAACCACATCGAGTCGTCCCCCGGCTTCTTCTTTTTTTCTCTCATCTCCAGTTTTGGGTCATGTTGTTTTGCCCGTGCCATGTGGCAGAGCGCTTTTTCTCCCCAGTCTCCTCCCGTCCGACCTGCTGCTTCCAAGCAGGTCTCTGGGTTAACTAGGGGGTTTGTTTTGTCTATTATGTTTGTTTTTTCTTCGTAGGGGTAGGTGTTGCCTGCTTGGTCGACGTCTACCCCTCCCGGGAGGAAGAACCAGGTTTCTTTGCGGGAGTAGGCTGGTTCTTTGACTTTGGGTTCGCAAAATCGGTGACCTGTGAAAGCTGCGTCGTAATTGATGAAGACTATTTTCTTTCTCCTTTTGTCTGGGGAGGGGGAGGTGGCGAGGAAGCCGGCGTCTACTTCTTCGGCTACCTCCTCTAGTAACTGATTTGCTTTTTTAACAAGGCTGTTTAAATGTTTCCGGACATGCCGCGTGAGTTTCTCTGCGCCGCCTAGCCAGATACCGAGGCTGGTGTCGTCGCAGAGGGTGGTGTCTGCGTTGAAAAACTGGGCGTAACCCGTGACGGTAATCAAAAACTTGGGGTGGTGGTCCCAGCGGATTTTGTTGAGGATCTCGGTCAGGATCAAGCGGATACGAAGTTTTAGTTGGAGGTGTTGGGTTGAGTTGGGAGAAAACATCTCCTCGGCGGAAGATAGGGCGGCGGAGCAGGAGGAGCCGTACCAGGGGCCGTAGAAGCGGAATACGCACGCGTTCAAGACGGAAAAAAAGTCTAGGTCGTTCCCGCCGATGGTTAGGGTTGCGAAGGTGGGGGGATACGTGGTGTTGATTCTGTCGATCTGGGAGGAGGAGGGGGGAGAGGAGGAGAGGAGGTCGTGGGTGGTGGAGCCAGTGCAGGACAACCACTGGAAAGAAGAGTTGGCTGAGGGGGAAGGGGAGGGGGAAAGGAAGTCAGAGGCGAGGAGATAGGGGTAGGCACCGCGGCCTTGACGGCAGCGTGACTCGTCGGGGAGGGAAGGGGAAGGGCGGGTGCCGATGCCTGCTGAGTAGGAGTCTCCTAGGGATATGAAGCCTTCCACTCGGGATCTCTGGGGGGAAATGGGAGAAGGTGAGGCGAGGACATGCTGTTGATTGTCTGGGGGCTTGGAGGGTCGTGAGGGTGTTGCGGAGACCGGTATTGGGGTGAGGATTATGGGGAGAAGGAGGAGGGTTTTGTGGATGAGCATGACGATATAGATAGAAAGATAT